ACTAACAATCTCCATTAACAGCTATTCACCCTCCTAACCAGACCGTTACCCACTCCTTTGTCTGTCCAACTGCTCTTCTCTCTCTTTGGGCTCTATCCCCACCTATCGTTTACTCCTTACCTCCTCCCGCCACCCTATCTTTTATTTATAAGCCAAAGTTGTGACGAAGGGTCACTCGACCTGAAACGTTAACTCTCATTTCTCTCCACAGATGCTGCCAGACCTGCTGACCTTTTCCAGCAATTTCCGATTTTGTGTTCAAGTGGATTACAATCTGGGGTAGGGACACGAAAGAGAGATTTCTCAGGAAGGGCAGCAGTTGTACTTCCGCAAAGGGCAATAGTTGGATCTTTACAACAAATCCGTCATGGTTCCCCAGCTGTTTTTACCAAAACCGGGTTTACAATTCCAGATTCTCACTTACCAATTTAGTAACATCTCCATTCTATCAACCACGACATCCCATTGACCCTGTCCCCATATTAGCTAAGTACAAAGTACACATTGCCTTCAATCTCAGTGTTACTAAGTGTTCTGTAAGTTAATAGTTTTGCAAGGTTAATGTTGAAGACTGTATTAAGCTCTAGGTAATCTGATGTCGCATCACCCAGGAAGGGAAAGCTGAGAAAATAACTCTGGATCTCAAAGGGGACAGATGTATCACCTATAGGCTCGAGGGCAATTTCTAACGACCTAATGTGGTGAGATAAAGTCGCCAAAGTCTGGCCCTCACATTAGAGAGAGAGACAATTGGTGGTGAGTTTAAACTGAGGGTCACCACATCTCAAGAAGATGGGACCTTCATGGTAACCTCAGCCAGTGCACGAACTGACCCACTCTGTTGGAATCACTCTGCATCGCAAACCAGGCACCCAGCTAACTGACCCCCAATGTAATTTGTACATAATAGTTATCATGGAATAAACCAGACGTGTTACAAAAAAAGAAAAATCCTTTTTATATTCACTTGCAGGATGTGGGCATCTTTGGCTGGGCCAGAATTTATTGCCCAAACCTACTTGCCCTTGAGAATCATAGAATCCCTACAGTGTGGAAACAGGCCCTTTGGCCCAACAAGTCCACACCGAGCCTCAGAGCATCCCACCCAGACCCATCCCCCTACAACCCACCTAATCTACACATCCCTGAACAATACAGGGCAATTTAGCATGGCCAATCCACCCCAACCTGCACATCTTTGGACTGTGGGAGGAAACCGGAGCACCCGGAGGAAACCCACACAGACACGGGAAGAATGTGCAAACTCCACACAGACAGTCACCCGAGGGTGGAATTGAACTCAGGTCCCTGGCGCTGTGAGGCAGCAGTGCTAACCACTGAGCCACTGTGCCACCCACTAAAGGTGGTGGTGAGCTACTTTCTTGAACCGCTGCAGTCCATGTGCTATAGGTAGACCCACAATTCCATCTTGGGAGGGAGTTCCAGTATTTTGACCCAGCAACAGTGAAGGAACAGTAATGTATTTCCAAATCAGGATGGTGAGCGGCTTGGAGGAAAACTTCAAGATGGTGGTGTTCCCATGTATCTGCTGCCCTTGTCCTTCTAGATGGAAGTGGTCATGCGTTTGGAAGGTGATGTCTAAGAATCTTTGGTGAATTTCTGCAGTGCATCTTGTAGATAGTACACACTGCTGCTACTGAGCAGCAGAGGTAGAGAGAGTGGATGTTTGTGAATGTAGTGCCAATCAAGGGGGCTGCTTTGTTCTGGATGGTGTCAAATTTCTTGAGTGTTTTTGGGACTGCATCCATTCAGGCAAGTGGGGAGTATTCCATCACACTCCTGACATGTGCCTTGTAGTTGGTGGACAGGCTTTGGGGAGTCAGGAGGTGAGTTACTCACCGCAAGTCTCTGATCAAATCTTGTTCAGACTCACTAGGGGCTCCTCTTGTACCACTTCAAATCAAGTAGACCCTTAGACCCAGTCAAGTGAAAGATGAATATACCACCCATCTACACACCAACACCACATCAAGTACAACCTAGGTACAGTGTTCAGTATCAGAGCTCCCATGAATTGGTTGATCAGAAACAAAAGGTTTTACTCAGTGTGTGCAGAGACTGTGACATATTCCAGTGCAAGATGTGCAATTACAATAGAGGGATGTAGCTTATGTGGAATGTTCCGAAACATCTGTTTCTGTTCAGGAAGATAACTGTTTTCCATCGAAACCATGCAGCCCAACTAAAACAGGCTGGCTTTAATTATCTTTAATGTCATTTTTAAACCTGAAAGTCACAGAAAAACTTCAGTCATACTAGCAAATTAGCTGCCTGACTGTAAGTCAGCCTAGTAGGGGCAGTATGGATAATGCAGTTCCCAGACATTAGGCTCCCAGGCAACCATTCCAGGCCTGCATTCCAGCACACCCTCCTTCACACAGGCTCAGGGGCCTGAGTGCGAGCCCCTTCTCCCTCCCCAACCACCACCAACACAGGCCTGAGGCCTGCATTCCAGCACACCCTCCTTCATACAGGCTCAGGGGCCTGAGTGTGAGCCCGTTCTCCCTGCCAGACACCACCAATACAGGCTCCAGGCCTGCACTAGGCCCAGGGCCTGAGATCCAATCGGCTTGTGGGAGCTCACTGCCTGTAGTCCGGTCATACATTCGCACCAAATTGAGGTCACTCCTCACCCCTGGCACCTCCGAAATCTTTATTTTTGTTTTGCTTTTCCCAACTCGGGCCCCCGACACCACAAACAGAAATTTGATCTGAGTCCTGAGTTCAGTACATGATGCGAGGAGCAGGTCACAATTGTGTACAAATGGACACCACAGGGGATCATTCAAATAACTTTACCATCTCCACACCTCAGTTCATAATATAAATACATCAGGTACAACTAGACAGGGGGCACAGAATAGTCCATCAGTCCTCTGTGCCTCACTGCAAACTGAACAGTTCATTCAATTTGCTTACATTTTCCATACCATTCCACATTCTTGTCATACTTATCCACTTCAAAAGGCTGTTGCTCCCATCACTGTCTCTCGCAGAAAGTACCACATTCCAGCAAACTAGGCTGTTGTTTCAGCCGTAATACTAAAGATTCTCAACCACCATGTGGGACAAAGCAGCTCCCTTGCATTGCTTAGGAGGGAGGGGACCAGGTGAACTTAAGGTTGGGGTGGAAGGTGTTCCCTTGCATTGCTTCCTCATTAACCACTTCCCACATCCACTCCTTCCACCACTGATGCTCAGTCACAACAGTGTGTACCATCTGCAAGATCCACAGCAGCAATTCACCAAGATTCCTTCAAACACACCTTCCAAACCTACAGTTTTGAACATCTAGAAGGTCGAGGGCAACAGATATGGAAAAAATCTGTCCGAGGACGTGGTAGATGCAGGTGCAGTTACAATATTTACAGGACATTTGGAGAGGTACATGAACAGGAACGGTTTAGAGGGATAAGGGCCAAAAACAGTCAAATGGGACTAGTTTAGTTTGGGAAGCCTGGTTAGCATGGACAAGTTAGACCGAAGGGTCTGTTTCCATGTTGTATGACTCTGATACTATGAGATACATGGAAACACCACAACCTGTAGGTTCTTGTCCAAGACACTCGCCGTTCTGACTTGGAAATACATCACCGTTTCCTTCGCTGTCATTGGGTCAAAATCCTGGAACTCCCTTCTGAACGACATTGTGTGTCCTCCTACAGCAGGTGGACTGCAGCGGTTCAAGGAGGCAGCTCACTCCCATCTTCAAAAGGGGCAACTAGGGATGGGCAATAAATGCTGGCCCAGCCAGCAATATCGACATCCCATGAACCAATAAAAAAATCTGGGAATTAATAGCAATAGGATTCGTGCAGGTTGGTGAGTTTGAAGAAAAGGGTCGGCCATGAATTTATTAGATGGTGGAGGAGGCTTGGGGGTCCAAATGGTCTACTTCTGCTGTTATTTCTTTGCTTTTGCACATCAAGTTATCTCCACAACTTTTGCTGAGTGAAAAGTAAAAGTCCTGTCATTACATTAGGAGCGCAGTCCACTAGAGCTACACAGACATGGCCTAACCACAGCCAACACACTAATCAAACTCCTTCTGACTCTTACCAACCAGCTCACGTCAGTACAGCAACAGAGGAGTGACACACAAAGATTTACAGAATCACGTCCTCAGTCAAAGCATCAAACACAGACTCCTGTATCACAACGCTCTCGAACTTTCGCCAATAGTCCATTGCAGGGATGGAGCTTCCACCAAAACCTCCAAACAATGTCACACCATGTTAACGGTAACGTTTCACGTCCAGCGCTTTACACTCCATGTGGCTCTGGTTTTCCAACCCTCCAGGATTTTTCTGGAGCCCCACAAGCTTAGCGGCGAAGGCACTGCCAGGAGTAAGATCCCAGAAGAAATTGGGAGCTTCATGGTCACTTGTCATCTCAAGTATTGCCAAAAGAAGGGACATGCTGTCATAGGTTTTCATCTTGCACTCATCAGGACGGATGCAAGAATGCCAAATTTCAAAGGGAAAAATAATTTATACTGCATGAGAAAAGAGTGCTGATTGGTTGGCTCATGAGAAAAGGGTGCTGACTGGTTAGCAAGTCAACTCCAATTGGTCAAGATGTTGTTTTGACAGCATGTGTCTTTTTTTTAACCAGTAATATTTAACTTTTTTTTAAAATAGTTTTTCAATGTTAGTTATAGCCGGAATAAAACAGCTGTTTGACAAACAGTCAACATCATCAGGTAATGAGGTTCCTCTTTTGCAATTGGCTATGGGATACCTTGATGATCGAATCAGATGGACCAATGGCAGGGGTCTCCAGGAATACATCCAACCAGAGCTGGTAACTCATCTCAACAACCAGAGGGAAATCAGTCTCCCATTCCAATTCCAACCCCAATCCAACTTGAAATCTTCACACCAAAAGCAGCTCACCTTATCGCAACGTAAAAAAAAACCTCACTTCAAAACAGAAATGAATTGCCTGGTTGAGGACATCAATCGGAAAAACGACCTTACCTTTTTCATCTTCCCACTTCTTGTCCCGAAGAAAGCGACTGTGTGGCCCCTGTAGTCATAGGCAGCGATGGAAGTCATGCCATCCTCTCTGTCAATAAACAGCGGGATGCCCTCCACCAGTGTCGTCCCACCCAGCGGCTGATTAAAATCTTGCCCACAGAAATTATCGTCAATCTGCAAAGGCTGCAAGTAAGACAAAAACCAGAAGATTATTGTAAAAACCGAGAGAACTACAGATGCTGTAAATCTGGAACAAAAACAGGAAGTTTCTGGAAAAGCTCAGCAGGTCTGGCAGCATCTGTGAAGAAAAAAAAAAATCAGAGTTAACATTTTGGGTCCAGATCTGAGGAAGGGTCAGCGGACCCGAAACATTAACTCTGGTGCAGAAGATCATTGCTATAAGAGTTTGACAAAGATGTCTGCGTGGGTTTCCTCCGGGTGCTCCGGTTTCCTCCCACAGTCTAAAGATGTGCAGGTGAGGTGGATTGGCCATGCTAAATTGTCTTTCGTGTTCAGGGATGTGTAGATTAGGTGGGTTATAGGGGAATGGGTCGAGGTGAGATGCTCTAAGGGTCGGTGTGGACTCGTTGGGCCGAAGGGCCCGTTTCCACACTGTAGGGATTCTATGATTTGCTCAACCAATGTCCTCTAGGTCACTGGGGATATCAAAGAACATGTGTCAATGTTTAAAAAAAAGGGAAAAGCCACATACACATTCTTTCAAATCACGTTCCATCCCCCAATCAAAATGGATCAGCTGGTCATTTAGTTTGCTTTGGCTGATTGTGGAATTTGCAGTGCACATTTTAACAGCTACATTTGCCTGCTTCATTTTTTTAATTCTTTCGTGGGATGCCCATCGCTGACTGACCTGGAACTGAGTCCCTTACTAGGGCCTTTCAGAGGGCAGTTGAGAGTCAACCACATTGCAATGGGTTTGGAGTCACACGTAGGCCAGACCACACAAGGAAGGCAGATTTCATCAGTAAGTCATAAACCAGATGGGTTTCTACGGTAGTTTCACAGTAAACATTAATGAGACTCTGTTTCAATTCCAGACTTATTCATTGAATTCTAACTTGCACTATCTGCCATGTCCTCAAAGCAATAGCCTGAGCCTTGAGAAATTATTACCAGTTCTTCACCCACCCAAGATAAACCCAATTGCACATCCAAAGGTACTCATCAGTGACGGAATGCTTTGGGACATTCTGCGGATGCGTTAAGAGGTTACATCATTGACAGGTTATCCTTCACCCAGCACACCTGAGCCAGCTCTGCCACATCATTTAGCCCTCAGTATTTTCAGGCAACTAATTTTCCAACATCACCTGAATGAATTTTGGGAGCACGTTTTCCGGGATATTTGGCCCAGGCTTCCAGTTGGCATCTCTTTGTGAGGAAGAGAAGTTTGCGATTTATCCTGCCCCCAGATCTCCCAAAACCCTTTTACAAGCCCACGGAGTACTAGTGACATGGAGTCAGTGCTGCAATGTAGAGAACACAGCCACCACATTTGTGCAGGGCCACCTCCCACTAAAAGCAGTGAGTTAATGACGAAATAAGCTGTTTTAAACATGTCTATGCTGGACTTAATGTGACCCATGACAACAATAATTGTCCCTGCGTTTCTCCAAAACAGTGCCATGTAATCACTCAGGTCCATGCAAGGTGACAAGATGCCACCTTTCGAAAGATGCCACCTCCATCTCAGGACTGATCTGGACAGGCACTGGAGTGGGATCTGAACCGCTGACTTTTTACCTCTGACCTCTGACTCTGAGGTGAGACACAGGGGCACAGCTGATACTGGAAGCAACGACACATCTTCAATATTGAACGTACCCTCCCACTGGCATCAACTGCCTCTGCTATAAAGAGGTGCTTTTATTTTGATTAATAGAATTCTCTTAATAATTGAAAATGCAAACTCAGTAATTACAGCCAGTGTTGAACTGTTATGTTGACTCCCAGAGGGCTGTGCAATAATAGGCTAACTGAATTATTTAAATAAATACCGCTCTGGTGTTTGTACTCTGGGAGTTTCCTTTGTGCAGGCTATGCAAATATCCTGTTTTATCTCTCAGTGATTCAACATAATTGTTTTATGAGAAGTAAATTTGCCCTATATAAGTGGGAAAATGAAACCATTTGTTTTGGTGATGAACTAACCTCATGTACTCAGACCGTGGCCTATTTGTTGATTGAGCAAAACATTTGACAAAGGAGAGAATAAAAAGGTCATCCCACATAAACTTCTTAAACCAATTTATCTGATGGAAGAGTCACAAGACTGATTATTCTACTTACACAGTTACATTTTCAAAAGCAGGTTTTAAAAGCGCGTAACAGTGTTGACTTCAGTTGAGGAAAAGGCAGGGCATTAGGCCAACATAGAGTCACAGAGATGTACCGCATGGAAACAGACCCTTCGGTCCAACTCGGCCATACCGACCAGATATCCTAAATTAATCTATTCCCATTTGCCAGCATTTGTCTCAGATCCCTCTAAACCCATATTCATATATCCATCCAGATGCCTTTTAAATGTTGTAATTGTACCAGCCTCCACTCCACTTCCTCTGGCAGCTCATTCCATACACGCACCACCCTCTACATGAAGAAGTTGCCCCTTAGGCCCCTTTTAAATCTTTCCCCTCTCACCTTCAACCTATGCCCTCTAGTTTTGGACTCCCTTCCCCTAAGGAAAAGACCTTGGCTATTCACCCTATCCATGCCCCTCATGGTTTTATAAACCTTTTCAGGGTCACCCCTCAGCCTCCGATGCTCCGGGGAAAATAGCCCCAGCCTATCCAGCCTCTCCCTGTAGCTCAAACCCTCCAACCCTAGCAATAAAGCAGCAGACTCAACCATGAGCCATCTAGGCTTTCACCTCTTGAAGATCGCCCTGCAATGTCTAGGAATTAAAGACCAATCTTCCAGACATTGTTGCAAATAAATAGCCAGTGGAAAATCCATAGAATCCCTACAATGTGGAAGCAGGTCATTTGGCCCATCGAGTCCACATAGACCCTCCAAAGAGTATCCAGACTTACTCCCTACTTTATCCCTGTAACCCCACATTTCCCATGGTTAACCCACCTAGCCTGCACATCCCTGGACACTAGTGGCTATTTAGCATGACCAACCCTCCTAACCTGCACAATTTTGGATTGTGGGAGGAAACAAGACCAGCCAGATGAAACCCACGCAGACATGGGGAGAATGTGCAAACTCCACACAGATGGTCGCCCAAGGACTCTGGCGCTGTGAGGCAGCAGTGCTAACCACTGAGCCACCATGCAGGCCATAAAATGAAAGTGAAATAAAAGGATTCCAATTGTACAATCTTGCCATTTTGTCTAGTTTCTTCAATGAGACCTGTGAGTCATTGGTTGGCTCAGCATTTACTGAACATCTTTGGTTGTCTTTGAGAAGGTGGTGGTGAGCTGCCTTCTTGAACTTCTGCGGTCCACATCCTGTGGGTTGACCCACAATGCCCTTAGGGAGGGCATTCCAGGGTTTTGACGCAGCGACAGTGAAATAATGACAATATATTTCTAAGTCAGGATGGTGAATGGCTTAGATGGGAAATTGCAGGGGCTGGCATTCCCATGAATCTGCTGTCCTTGTCCTTCCAGAAGGAAGTGGTCTTGGGTTTGGAAGGTAACACAGTGTGGAGCTGGAGGAACACATCAGGCCAGGCAGCATCAGAGGAGCAGGAAAGTTGACGTTTCAGGTCAAGGCCCTTCTTCACACCCAACCTGACCCGAAGCGTCAGATTTCCTGCTCCTCTGATGCTGCCTGGCCTGCTGTGTTCCTCCAGCTC